ATTATTCCTGTGCTCTTAACTTACACTGTAATCCTTGTGGCAAAGACACACCTTTGCTTTTGCAATTACCTCATGCGGTAGGAACCAATCTGTGAATCCAAATATTAATCAGCTAATTTGGATAGTGGTGTGCCAGGTTTGACCTTAACTTAGCAAAAAAAAAAAAAATAAAAGTAATAATTTAAATATTTATAACATGCCTGTAAGCTTGGAGCATTGAAACCTGTGAGCCCAGTCTGTGAGTTGGTATTGGGCCATGCAGGGAGTAAGGACTTTACTTCTACTATTCTGACCATCATATAGACTCTACAAGGACACAAAAATATTAACCTTGTGATGCTGCTAAAGCCTGTAGAGTACAGATTATTTACTGCAAGTAAATGAAATGTTCCTTAAGATATGTCTAAAGTACTGAGCGAATATTTCCTGTGATAGTTCTGGGAGTTTTAACTAATATTCATTTTCCTATACTGACATATAAATAAATGAATATGCCTTTTTTTCTTTTCCATAACTACATGGAATTAGCAGAAAAAAAATACTGAGGGAGCACCTTTCCTGCTTTTGAAAGCAGCAGAGCTGGACAGAGACTGTGAAGATTCAGTGCCTCTAAATAGTAGAAATATGTTCAAAGATAGGCTGTGCACTTGACTCCCAAATAAACATTAAAATGTTCTAATTATGTAACTTAATTCTGAGATTTAAAAGACACTTATAAATTCCAGTTGTTCTCCTACCTCTACAAACTGGTGTGGAGCTCTCTAACCCTGGAACTCTTCTAGAATCAATAATTCTATTCCTTTTTACTAATAAAGGTAATCTGGACTGAACACTACATGAACTCACCATTTTCTCAATCTGCACTAGAAGTCAACATAAAAGTTCCCCTAATTTATTGTTCCCCAAGCTCATAAAAGCAGTATTTCAAAAATAGTTTATTGCTAGTAAATTAACACACTCTTTTTTTTTTTTTTTTTAATAGAGGTAAAGATTTCTTATGTGTCTAAACACCTGCCCTCAGGTGTCTTAAACTCATTTAAAAGAAAAATACTGTTTCAGAGGCTATTTATGTAAACAGCACGTAATTCCCTTCCTGGAATATAGCACCACCTTACAACACACATGAGCATGGAAAGCCTGGACTCAAGTATGCCAAATCACCACAACTCCCCTGTAGAAGAGAAGAAACCAGGTGCAAAGAAAAGGATATTTTCAAAACAGAATAATAGTAATAAAAAGATATAGCACACACATTAAATATCTCTAAACGCTACCAACTATCCATCTTAAAGCTGTAAGTCCAAACAAAATAATTGCTCAGTGAATGACCCATTTGGTGAATGATGCAAGTGGTCATGAAAGTCAACACCAATCCAGATTTCATAGACCAAGGTACTGCAATTTCTAAGGTACCTACAGGTTGTGTGGCAGCACTTGCATGACTGGACTGGTCATAGTTACTTTACCTTTTTTTTACTCTCATTTTGTGCCTTCGACAGCACTAATAAATTGCATTTGTCAGAAATATGCATAGTGCAAATACCCCTTGTTTTTGGTCTTTAGAAAGATCTAAAAGTATAATATTCTTTCATTATCGAATTCAAAGATAATTTTTTCATGGGTTACCTTGGTAACAAAATTATGAGTTCATTTTTCCACTTTGCATTGATAAAGAATAAATATAAGTAGTAACAACTGTATCCTATTAAAACTTGATGCTGCATAACAAAAGATATGTTTCTGTGGAAATACGAGGCTTGGAATTAGTCCTTTGTTTTGAGTCTTGAATCACCATACGTTTTAGGCCTGATTATTCTTCTATATGAATATAGTAAAAGACAAAAATCTATTAAGAAGTGTACCTCTAGGTTAAAAACAAGGAAAGAATTTCCCTGTGGTCTGTAAGATTGCAATATATAGATCTCAATGTTCAGACCTTGATGGGTGTTTAAGATGCTCCAGTAACCATGTCCAATTCTGTAAACATGCACATTGCAAAGTCCATGGTGCTTACAGAAAACTATTAAGGATGACAGAAGTATTATTAGCAACAACTGGGTTCCTCCAGGGTGAAAGAGTAAAAGAGGCAATAACCATTGATTATTCCATTAGCCAGGGAGTTGCTTTAACAATTTCCAAGATCTTAGGTCCTCCAGCCTGAGGGAAGGAGAACAGATGCAGGAAGGAAATGGGACTCAGCAAGATTTTATCAAGAGCAAAAAAGATCTTCTGGGGATGGAAGCTGCTGTACCTGGGGTAAGAGTCACCCTGAATTCAAGCAGCAACAGATCATGGTTTGCTCCTTTCTCCATTTTTTGGGGGGGGAAGTGACTACATGATTTTTTATAGGCCTGCAACCCTCAGTACACAGTGTAGTGCAGGGCTCTGGGATCAGGCTCCCTGAATATTATAAGAGGCTGGAACCATCCAAGTCACAGTGTTATCTCCTGCTATGGTCTAAGCAGATTAGACAGAATATTTAATTAATAATTAATTAATGCAAGGCATATGCAAAAGATATCATATCTGTACCATATCTGAAAAAAACATGAATAAGTAATATAAGGGCAGAAAGATTAGGTCTTAAGCTTCCAATTTAAGAGAGGGATTCAGAATCTGAAATTTAGCCCATTACAGTTTTGTAGGCAAGTTGAACAAAGACTGTGACCAAAGTAGAGAAACACAGGGATAACCAAGTCTGTTGTTGGACCTCCTTTGAGACTTTGCCGTCACCTGTCATGCATGACTGCTGAATATACATGTATTTAAAACAAACTTACATTAAAAAGTACATTAAATATAAATAGCATAAAATCATTAAACATTTCAATTGTGAGGGAGCTCTTTATATCATCTGGTCCAAATTTTCACTCAAAGCAGGGCTAGCATTTTATGTAATTTGTATTTTTATTTGATTGATAAACTGGTAATCCAAGCATGTCTACATGAAAAAATATTGAAGAAACAGTAAGCTAGAGATACTCATCTAATATGCCAGCTTCCTCCCTGTGCTGTGTCTGGGAACAGCCAGTGTTTTGTGAGGAAGATACAGTTTCTGTCAATATTCTTTGACAGTGAAAAATTTCTCAGGACAGAGCATGCAGAACAAACATCTGATATCTGTGCTGTTAACAGAGCTCCCTGGAGCTCAGGGGCACAGCAGAATCCCTGTGCTTAGCTCTCACAAAGGGCTGGAGATCTGCTGCATCCCCAGAGGTCAGATAATCCATGGGAGATAAATTCAGCATCCTTGTGGACAATCCAAGTGTCTGAGTGCTTTATCCATACCATCTCCAAACACAAGAGTAACCACAGAATCAGTCAGATTGGAGGGGACCACAGTGGGCATCTGTTCCAATCTACCTGCTCATGCAGGGTCATTCCAGAGCCCAGGATTGCATCCAAATTGTTCTGGACTATCTCCATGAGGAAGGCTCCACAGCCTCTCTGAGCAACCTGTTCCAGTCACTGCACAGTGAAGAAAATCTTCCTGATACACCTTCCTGAAGATGGAACCTCCTGTGCATCAGACACTGCCTCATGTCCTAGTGGGTGGCACCACTGAGCAGAGCCTGTCTTTTTCTTCTTAGCATCCTCTCTTTAGATATTTATACACATTAATGAGGTCCCCTCTCAGCCTTCTTGAGGCTGAATAGGCCCAGCTCTCTCAGCCTTTACTCATGAGAGATTCTCAAGTCCCCCGGTCATCCTTGTTGCCCTCCATTGTATCCACGTCAGGAGCTCCACATCTCTCTTGTACTGAGGAGCCCAGAACTGCACACAGAACTCCATATGGACAGAGTACTCCAGATAATAGTATGAGAATTCCCAGAAATTAACAGCCAGTTTTAGTTGGAAATGTTGAGATGAGAAGGGAATTGGAAACAGAGAAAATGAGGGAAGGGTCTTATACATTTATCAAAATATATTCCCCATGCTAGGTACTAAAATATTATCTTGATAGGCTCATCCAGTCTTTGACATGGACTTCAGGCTGTATCTGAGGGAAAAAGGTCTCTATGACAGGCAATCGAGTTAATCTAATACTTTTATGTCTTTGTGTCTTCAAGTAAGAGAAAAGAGTTTGGACAGGCTTCTAGCTACTTCCCAATGTCAACAGTCTCTAAACCAAACCCTGCAAGTGCAATGCAAGTACAGTACAGTAAAATACAGTACAGTAAAAAATTGAATAAGATGTTTCAAACACTTAGAGACTGAGGAGAACCTAAACCACTTCCATTTCCAAATGGAATTTTAAGACTTAGTGGTTTCAGTCAAAGCAGAGATAGTCTGACCACGATAAGCTGGACCATTAGGAAATCAGGTCAGTTTCAGATTCTTCCTTGCTAACATCCCAACTTCTGCTAGCTAAGCCAAGTCACTTGTCAAGCTGTGTGTAATATTATCTGTCAGCTTTTACAGAGTTCTGTCATCCAGAGATGACAATAGAGGCAATAACTAAATATAAACACCTTTGCAATTTGACAGCATGGTTAGCAGGTGATTTTTATCCCACAGGCCCTGAAGCCTAACTATTTGTCAAGTCCACTTATGGCACTGAAACAAGCAATGTGAATATAACCCTTGCAGATTTACTTACAGAACTCTTATTTTGTGTTCTAAATAAATGTTCAAAATACCATGAAGCAGATTAATTGTAGAAAAGATTTTGGTTTGTGTTACCTCTGAATGCCTGATTCACTAAGGGTCTTTCTAGTAAGGTAAAAAGAACAACAATATGATAGTCTCATTTATTCTCATTAGTGAGAATAAATATGTATGCAAATAATATCTGGCAAGATCTTAAACATACATCTCATATACCTCTGTCAGCTTCAGCAAATGTAGCTAGATTGCTTTGAAAGGCATCCTCACAAGGAAGATGTGCTATATAACATGTTGTGTAAATGGTTTACTTTGTGACTTTTCCAAAGCTTTCAAAAAGATCATTCTGCATTTAGGCCATGTGCTTGACAGTGTGTCTTTCATCTTATCAATAGGCACCACAAGGCCACATAAGGAGGGGGAAGTCCCTGGTGTGGACTATATTTTCATCACTGTTGAAGATTTTATGGAATTGGAGAAAAGTGGTGCTCTCCTAGAAAGTGGAACATATGAAGGTAAGCTTTTACTGCTAAATCTGTATCATGTTTCCATTGCACAGCTTTCTAATTTGATGGAATTGCACTGGGATATCCTGTTACAAATGTGTCATTGCTACTGTCATCAGAAATTTGTAAAGAGCCATATGGCTATTATGAAAATATTTTCATTTGTAAAAGTTAAATGCAGATGGGTTCATTGTAATTTTAGTATATTTTAGTGGTTAAGAGAAACATGGTACTACATTGCATAACAGGACAGGAACACTAATCCTTTACACCAAGTACTCAAAGACATTTCCACAGAATTTCTGCAAACAGCTGATTTTCTAACCTAGGACAAACACATTCTATAACAGAAGTCAGGTGTAAGGCTGACACTTTTCCTTTGCACATGGGAACCTGCAATTATCCATCTATATCAGAAGCTGAAACCTCACTACTTAAGTAACGGAGCAAGAATTTGCTCTGTCATGTCTGTTTTATGGGATTTGTAAAGTTATTGAACTCATTAATTTTGTAAAATGGCAGTGGGATGGGGGCTGTCCTAATGGCTGTATTAGGAATGCCTGTCTGTGGGGCAAGAGCCAGCAGCTTACTGCATGACTGCTTCCCAGGAGAACCGATGATTCATCTGATTTTAAACCTTTTCCAAAACACAGCTATCCTGAAAGTGAATCTGGTGTAAAGAGGTGGGCAGTTACATAGCGGGGTATTTTAATAAAACCAGAATAATGATACACTATTTTAAACCAGATGTTTCTTGCAAATACACTAGTATTTTAAACAACTGGGTAATGGATAGTGGTTTTTTACTGCAATATTCAGAATTAGAGGGAACACCCTTTATAGGAAAAATATGACCTATATATATGTGAATACCTGGGTGAGTGGAGCCATTTTACGAAAATCAACCCCATATTTTCAACTTGTAGCAAAAAAGACAATGAAGACTTTTTTGTCCTGACTTTGTCCCTGCCAAGAAAAGCATCTGAAGATAAATAAGAAGCTGTTCACCCCAAAAAAATCATTAGCTGTGTTATAAATAGCAGCAAAGAAGGTAATTCTTTCCCACCTAATCAGCACCAAGTACCCTTTGTCCAGTAAATAAATTTTCATTAAGAGTTATATCAATACAGAACTTGTAACAAAGATTTCCATCAAAGAAGGTCAAATAAAGGAAAGTATGTCATCTTTCAGGTTTCCACTTTTTTCAGCCACTGTCTGACACGTAATGATACAAGTTACCTAAATGTTAATACAACACCAGAATTTTACTTTTATCACAGGTTAATTTAATAACAAGCCTTTCTTGAAGTGTCTTTTTGTTACCTTAGGTGTTTGAAAGTAACATTAGAGGAGCTTAAATGGAGCACAAGTCTGTCATTGCTTGACCATGTAATTTCATTAGTTTGCAGCAAGTTTGTAGAGATTGAACTGCTACAGTAAATTAATTCACAGTGCTCTTCTGTCCCTCTAGGGATACCGAGATGTGTCTTTTAATACCAGTTACCAGAGCTGAGGGGACAGCAAGGTGAAATATTGGTTGAGGAAGTCTGCATAACTCCTCAAACCAGCTGAGGACCCAGCTGAAGAGAGGTCCAAAGTCATGACAGTGCAATGTGTGTCACGTCATTTGCTTATCACAGGTGACAAGTTCACTGAAGCCAAGAAATTAGAAACTAAACATACAATTAACTATACTCGGCATACCAATTCTGCCTAAATCCTTGAGTCCTTTGTTTTGTGGTTACCAGATTCACATTCTGACAAAAAAACAATTATCTGCCTATGCCTTATGGCAAAAAATAGGTAACCCGTGAGAAAATGTAAATATTTTACAGATGCTGTTTCTCCTGTTCCCATACAAAGTCCTTTGAACATGACCATACAAAGTTCCACCTCCAATTTCATGGTTAATTCTTGACTGAAGAGACTTCTCTGGGGAAGAATTTTGCTAAACATCCTGTCACAAGTTTTCCTGAGCACATTAGGACTTCAGTGATTAAGTTTACTGGTTAAAATTACACTAACCAGAGCAAAGAAATTTTCAGTTTCCCTCCTGAGGAGATGATTTTTGAATTCTTGCATAGATCAAGCAACTTATTTGAGCATACATACTCTGGGAGATTAATTTTATGCTCCTTATCAACACTGGTTATTAGATTTATGAAACAAATCAACCTTCTTTTTAATAGTTCTCAGTGTTAATAGATTGGTTTGAAGATTTCTTTATTCTTTCCTTTTTTTTTTGTTTTAGAGAAAATCATTCTGTATTTAGCTAAGTTTCTATGTAGTGTAGCTGAGTCAGTCTATGCTGATTATCTAAGTACAACCACTGTGAACCAGTTCATCTCTACCAGAAAAATGTCTTAAAGAAGGGATTTCTCATTCAGTTGTGAGAAAAATTCAGACTGTGTATGTGTGTTGTTTTTCATCAGTTTTTGACTAGGAGGTTTGTTTCAGTCAATTTACCTTCTAGTGTGTGAATTCCAAAGAGAATCAGGAACAACCAGGTAAGCCAGAGGAGAAGGAGGTCAAGTGCAGACTTACCTGACACTGAGTGTTTGTATTGTTCATTGTAGTACCTGGTATTGTTGGGAGGGGGATATTTTCTCATAGTAATGACAAAACCAGTAAGAACCATCAGAAATGTTTTGTTCTATTGCAGTAAATAATAGTTGTGATTACAACCAGGACAGCATATAATCTAAAAGTGAAAGCAAGATATATTCTCAGAAAGGTAGAGTTGTATAGTTCTTTTTTTTCTTTGAAGCACACTTTTTTTCTTTTCTTTTTAGTTTTAAAATAGATTTTTAAGTTATAAATTCTTTAGAATTAAAAATAGGGTACTCTGTGACCTCCTTACTTACTTTAGGCTTTGGATACACCTGCCTTTGTCTGCTGCTTTTGTGACAACTGTGAATGACTGTCGTATTCCAAAGTGCTGTAGAAAAGCAACAGTATGTTCATGATAAAAACTCTACAAATCTCTTCTTTTAGCAGTTTTGCAAATGTGAAAATATTTAATTTCAGTAGGACTAAATGCATTATTATTTTGACCTTTTATACTTATGTCTTTTTGAGCAATTGCTGGTATTAAAGCTGTCTTTATAGATATAATTATTCTAAGCATACATAATGTTACATAAACAGTTGCTGTGTTTTTGAGCTAACCTGTGGCTAAGTTCCCTGTCAATCTAAGTAACACTATTCAGCGCAGAACAAGAGGAGGAATACAAGAGGCAGTTCCACTCTCACTCAGATTAACAGTCAAAGTCATGTTAACTTCAGTGACATTGTCATTGAGTTTTGAATTTGTAATAAAATTATAAATTTTATTATGCACATTTATATCAAGTTAAAACATATTATACACCGGCACGTTGCTATTTGAGGCAGGGGCTGTTTGCCTGAAGCACATCAAACATTTATTTCAAGGTTTTTGTATAATAGTACAACCAAATCCTAAAGGTTTCACTTTGTTTGCTTTTTAGTAGAATATCAATTTACTGTAGTGATTAAAGGAATTCTGAATTGGTTCAAAATGATAACTTTATTATCCAACACACTTATTTAGATGACATAACTGTGGTTCTATAACCAGAGCGGGAGGTGTTCCTGTGTGGAATGAAAGCTATTGCCATGCAGAAGATGTGCCCCAGCAAAGTAATTTTCCACATTCCCACATTCCTTTCCTTGTTTCTGGGATGAAGATCAAAGATGGTCCTTGAATTGACACAATGTGTCAATCTATAATATGCAGAATAGCAAAATCTGTGATGAACAGACAAATTGTGTGTCTGTGTATGTGTACAGTCTTTTACAACTTCTCTGGTAGGAGGTTTGGCTCAGCACATTGTCATCTCCCCAACACGTCAAAACTTGCATGGAGACCTCATGGATCACTGATATCAAATGTTGCTCCCATCTCCTTATTAGATCAGCAAAATTCATAGCCAGTGGAGCATATCAGTAGAATTAAAATGTACTTGAACTGTATATTGCATATGTATATTGTATATGAGTCAACACTCATTAGCAGAAATGTAACAGCTTCAATATTTCCAAAACCCAGATATGTTAAGGCACATGATCGAAGGTTATATCAAGACATCATTGTGAAGTGTTAAAAATGTAAGAGTTTAAGTGCAATGCATTCTATGGGTAGAATTGTCTCTTAAAAGTGACATATGTATTGGCAGTATCAGAAATAAAAAGAGATGTTCAGTGTATAAATACTGTAAGAAAAAGAAACATGATTGTTGGCAGCCTATAAGGATAGAAATGTATTTAAAATACATTAAAGCAAGAGATATTTTAGCAATGTAGAGGTCTATAACGAGTGAAAACATGAAAAAGCCTGTTCATAACTGTTAGATGTGGCAAAAATAAGAATATAAACTAATTTGACCAGTACACTTACCAATAATGTGCTAGGTAGAATTTTTTTTCTGTCAAATTTTTGTTTTCTTCAGAAAATCTCCATAATAGTTGTTTTGTAAAAGATATCTTATTTGTTTTAATATAATAGTCCTTGAATTTATTCCATGAAACACAATGATTTTAGTTATTGTGCCATTAACTTTGTCAAAATTTTATTATTTGTTTGATTGTTTGGAATTGTCTCAAAGTCATTCACTGGGGAAAATTCCAAGAACATTGAAGTTATTTAACCGCTTACATGATCATGGACTTCCTTTAGCCCCACTGAATTCCATGGTAAATTTCCAGTTGGCTTAAAGGAAAACAGAATTTCACCCCTGTTTTTTTTCAATGGAGTATTATTTGGCAGAAGGGTAAGAGTTAGATGGGATTTCCCTAAAATTCCACAAATCTGCAATTATTCAGTCTTTAAAAAACAGGTTGGATACATCCCATGGGTGAAACCTTAGTGTTTTGTATTACTTGATTGTTCAAGGACAAAATTTCCAGTTGTTGCAGGCACGGTTTTGAGGGGTCAGCATTATAATGAGCTCTGCTGGGGAAGAGAATGTGGGTCACAGCTGGTGTCTTGC